AAATGCTATAGCTGCTAAAAGACTTGTATCCAGAATATAAAGACATGTATCCAAAACTTAATAATAAGAAAACGACCAACCTATTCTCCTCATGGGCAAAACACCTGCACTTCACTAAAGGTACACAGCTATGCATATGAAAAGGTACTCAACATCATTTGTCATCACAGAATGCAAATTAAAACCACAACGAGAGGTCACCATGTACCCGTTTTAATATTAAGCTAATATTTTTTAAACTGACTACCTCATGTGTTAACAAGGATGTGGGGAAACTGAACCTAACACTGCTAATGGGAATGTAAAATTGTACAACCATTTGGGAAGACAGTTGGCTGTTTCTTGAAAAGTTTAACCTCCTACCTACCACATAGCTCAGCATTTCATTTCTAGGCAGTTATGCAGGAGAAATGAAAGCTTAGGCCCTGCAGAGACTTGTCCATCACTGTTCACAGCAGCCAGATATGTAATAATCAAAAATCTAGAAGCAGCTCGATATCCATATGAGAGTGAATAAATTGTGGTATGTCAATGTAATGGAATGTTACATACCTATGAAAAGGGATGATCATGGGTACATGTCAAATAATTATGCTCAGTGAGAAAAGACAACAGGAATACAGGCTTTTGGTTCCGTTTATGTAAAGTAAATGTAAATTAATCTGCAGTAATAAAAAGCAAATCAGCAGTTGCTCGGAGAAGAAGATGCAGGAGAAGGCAGAAAGGGCACAAGGAAACTTTTAGGAGTTACGGACAATGTGGTCATTATCCTCATTGTGGTGACAGTTGCACAGGTGTACAGATATCTTAAAACTTATCAAATTGTGCACTTTAAATATGTGCAGTTTGTTGTATGCCCGTGATGCCTCCTCAGAAGGAAAGGGAAACGTGGATTGGGCCTCACTGTGGCGGGCACCGCAGCAGAGTCTGGGTGTCCCATTTACAACAAGGAGAAGAAACCAGTGAACTGGGCAGACCAAATCCCTGTCATGTATGATGAAATAAAGAAAGTGTAATTTTTCTTTCTTACTGGAAATCTAAGCACCATATTTTGTCTCAGGAATGCAGTTAGGTTCTCATTATTGTGATGGAAAGACATTTCAGGAAACTCCATGAGTTTCCTAGTCTCAGATTCCAAATGTGGAATCTAAGTATTAATCAACTCAGGATTCAGTGCAATCTGATGACTTTTTTCCATTGAGAAATTCTCACATGCTTGTTGCTTAAACTGTTGCTAATGATTAAACAAATATATTTAATTGCTCAGCATCTTTTCTTCGTCTTCTAATATAGCTGATGATTAGCCCGGTTTGGGTCATTAGCACCCATCGGTGTCATTGTGGTGTGTGCACACATGCGCACACAAGTTCAGGGTTTGTGAAAGGCCAGCCACTCGGTGCAGTGGGCGGGGAAAGCATTTTTCCACTTGTAGAGAGGAGTTTTGCATCAAGTCCTAGCATGTGCTCTCCCCAAAGTGCCTGTAAGTTCAACCTAAGGTCAAAGTCATGATCATTTCTGTTCTGCTTTACCTCAGAAGTAGGTCTTCAAAATTATATTCCTCAGCATATTAAATATCAGAATAACCAAAGAAAAATACAAATACTTATGAGGCAAGTGGTTTCTGTGGAGAATAGTCATTGAGAAAAATGTTTGTTTAATAAAAGTATTCAGGAGAGTTTTTAGGACCTGCTGTGAACCGGGTCAGTGGAAATAGCTATGAACTCTTCCCTCCCCCCCAAAGGAAACAGTGAGCCAGGGGCAGCCTGTGACACTGAGGTTTATGTCAAAGGCCACTGGGGCCAAGTTGTTCTGGAGCGCACCCTGTCTCGGCACACTGCTGGTTTCTCCTCCCTGAGACTCCCAGGTGGTAGGGAACCAAGTTCCATCCCCTGGGGCTCATCTCCACCTTCTGTCCTGCTGCCCACAGTCTGAGTCACCCCCTCCTTCATGGGTGCACTGGCCTCCTGGACTGATGCTATTGATTCTGAACCAGGAGCCAGGACCTCATAGCATTAAAGGACAGGTGGTGACAGGAAAGTGCAGGAAACTTTAGATGTGAACGAAACTTAGGAGCCAGGAACGCCTGAGGACCAGGCGCAGGGCCTCTGTCTTCTGGGCGCATGTGTGTGGGTGGGGGCAAGTGGCTGGAGGGGGTTGGGGGGCTGGAGCACATGTTTGGTGTTTGAGCCAAACACGTAGAGGGTTGAAATGGCAAGGAAAGAGAGCTGGTTTTTAAACTTGTGTTTTCCACTATAGAAGTGGAAGAAAGTATTACTGATTGTAATAACCACTTACATGAACTTATTTTTATGCCCAGTTATAATATTCCAAAATAATAACTGTCGGTCATTAAATATGTATCAGATTAACTTACATTTTACTTGATTATAACTGTGAATTCTTCAAGTATGCATGACCTCTGTAATTAGTTGCTCACATAACATAATCACAGGAAACCCATGCTGTCTATTTCTTCCACTGCACTGATGAGAAAATTCATGCCCACTACATATGCTTACAGTCCTGAAAAGCCCGGCCCGTCAGAGCCCTCCGTGTCACAGTCGTCCCGGGCGGCTCTGCTGTCCCCAGGAGCCTGCTGCAGCAGGAAGGGCAGCGGCCAGCTCAGGGACGCAGCGCCACTGCGTGAGTGGCAAACTCTCTTAAGTCCTCCTGAATTCCATTTTATTTTGTATTTCTTTTGAACTAAAATTTTAGTTCAATTAAAAAGCCAGTGAGAAAGTGTTAAAAAAAGAAAAAAAACTTTTAAGCATCACGGAAAGCTAGGTTTCTGCCCAGGCGGTCAGTCAGTCAGTGATGTCCAGATATGACTGTGAAGCCGCACTGATCTGCGGGGCAGCCAGCAGATGACACTCGCGCCCGCTCCCTCTGGCCGGCCTGGTGCGGGGCCACACCGCCAAGTTAAACACGGGGAGGAGCGCTGGCTTTCCAACAACCTGCCAGCAGTGTCCACTTACAACAGCTTCTAAGCAAGCACAGTTACGACTGGGGCCTGTCTCAAGCAAACAGAATTCTCTAACTAGTCGTGAGGGAGTGTTTGCACAGTACAGAGGTGAGCTTGCTGGGTGGGTTGGAGAGGGCTCCCAGGTCATGGGCCTGCCTTCTGCCAACATCAGGTGGCTCCGCAGAGTCTGCGTGCAGCTCGCCTGAAGTGCACTGCGGCACTGGACGGGTCCAGCTCTGCCCTGCTCCCTCCCTTTCCCCCCGTCATCCCCTCATCTTTATCACTGTCCAGGGATCTCGCAGCCTGAGTGAGGTTGAATGTAAGGTTAAAAGGCAAGAGCTCCTCCCCCTCCACTTGGCACCTGAGCATGTCTTTCTTTTTTATCTCTGCTTCTATCCCTTCTCCTTTCCAAGCCTGTTCCCTATTTCTGGGCCCTTGGCCTCATTTGTTCTTTCCCCAGGGCCTTACTCCCTTAGTTGTTGGCACTCAAGTGACAATTTGTTCTGTCTGTTGGATCCTGCATTGCCTCTAGACAGGTACTCGGTGCTTCTGTCCAGAAAACATCTCTTGTTACCTCCCTAAACAGCCTTCTCCCCTCATTCCTTTCACTGCCAAACTTAAGTAAGGACAGTTTTCATTGTTGCGTTAGATACTATTACACCACAAGTGCCTGGAGAGCAAGACCTTACACTGATTAACTTGTGTTCACTTGTTTGTGTCAAGTGCCTGGCACAGTGTAAGGCAGTGAATGGGCACAGACCTTGGAGCCTAACGCACCAGGGTTCAAACAGGGTTCGTATCGGGGCTCACTAGTTACTGCTGAGTGATGTTGGGTAAACCACTTAACCTTGCTCATCCTCAGCTTCCTCATCTGCAAAGTGGGAATAAAAATGCCTATCTTCAGCCGATTGGAATAGACACTTTCCCAAAGAAGACACACAGATGGCCAACAGGTACATGAAAAGGTCCTCAACATCACAAATCATAAGGGAAATTCAAATAAAAACCACGATGAGTTAGCACCCTACACCTGTTAGGACGGCTGCATTCAAAATGGCGAGAGCTGATGATGAGGATGGAGAGAAAAGGGAGCCCTTGTCTGCTATTGGTGGGGATGTAAATCTGTGTGGCCACTACAGAAAACGGTACGGAGGTTCTCAAAAAATTAAAACTACTGTGTGATCCAGCAGTCCCACTCTGGGGTGTATATGTATTTGAGGGAATGAAGTCACTGTCTCAGAGAGACATCCAACTCCCACGTCCACGGCAGTGTTTTCACTGCAGCCAAGACGGAAAACAACCTGCGTGTCCGTCTGGGGACGAACAGGTTAAAAAATGCTACATATATAAACAATGAAATCGTATTCAGCCATGAGAAAACAAGGAAATGTTTCCTTCACAACAACTTGAGGGCATTGTGCTGAATGAAATGTCACAGAAAGATGACCACTGTATCATGCCACTTACATGTGGAATCTAAAAAAGCCAAACTCAGAGAAACAGATGGTGTGGAATGGCCATTGCCAGGGGCTGGAGGCTGAGGGGAAGGAGGAGATGTTCCTTAAGGGGAGGGAACTTCCCGTTACAACACGTTCCGGGGATCGGATGCACGGCGTGGTGGCTGTAGTTAACAATACCGTATTGTATGCTTGTAAGTTGCTAAAAGGATAGACTTAAATGTTCACCCCCCAAAAACAGTTACTATTGTGTGAGGTGATGGAGGGGCTGGATGTAACCTGCTATGGAAGTCATTTCACAATAGATAATGTATGTTATGTTCTACACCTTAAACATACACAGTGTTTTATGTCGGTTGTATCTCAGTAGAGTTAGAAAAAATAATTCCTATCTTGCAAAGTTGTTATGGAGATTAAATGAGATAACATGTATAAAACCGCCCAGCACGGTGTCCGGCACAGACGCGGTGTGGACGGCAGGTCCCCGGCGCCTCCTGCATGTCAGGGCGGCAGCCAGCAGCACGCCACCCACGTCTGGTTCGGTGCAACTCTTACTCTTTGCTCTGCCTTGTGTGTTTCAGGTTCACACCCAGTATCCAGCTGAGTTTGAATTCAATCTCTATTACTTAAAGTTCTTGGCTTTCCACTACGTATCTAATCGCTTTAAAACATTTCTCCTGGATTCTGACTACGAGAGATTAGAGCACGGTATGTGTTTGTATGCTCTTGTTTTATCTTTTTTGTTGGTTTTGTGTGTTTCTGATTAAAAACTAGTAACGTCACTCCCCTCCAGTGCGGCAAGGCCCTTTTAGGGTTTTACCCTGAACCACAGAAGTGGAGTGGACGTGAACACACGCCCAGATTCGGAGACTGCGTGCTGCCTGAGCTCTCGGGCACTACAAATGGTCTCTCCTTAGCACGTTGGAAAAGTGAGATCCGCTTCTATTCCCATCTCTTAAAGTGTTACCACTGTTCGAGGGGACACATTTGACTCTTCTCCCACCCGTGCTGCGCTCTGGTAGGAGAGGAGCCTGCCTTCGGAGGCAGCGTGAGCAGCAGTGAAGGCTGAGGGTCTGGAGCAACCAGGCCTGGCTTAGATTCCAGCACCAGCTGAGTGCCGTGGACAGTTAACTACCTGTCCGAGTTTCTCCGGCTTCCTCATCAGAGTGGCCCTTTGAGCCCCGATGACCACAGTAGGAAACATTTGTATACTTCTTAGCACAATTGCTGGCACATAGTAAGCGCTCAATAAATTTTAGGCATGCCATCATTACTGTAATTTTTAGCAGCAATAACAGTTGTAAAGAGTAGTAGATGCTGGAAATCAGTCAGCCCCTGTGAAAACATTCTCCAGGGGGATTTTACATTCTTTTGTTATTGTGGGGAGACGGGAGGGAGGGCACACGTGACTAAGGAGACCAGCAAGTTTTCCAAAATCAGCCCTCTTCATAATATTCCTGTATATTCGTAACAAGGACTCTTTTCATGGCTGAAATTATTTACTGATGTTCTCAATTTAAAATATGGAATCAGGAATTACTGCTTTTCAGTGCATGCTATTAAAATTGTCCAATAAGATATTTCATGTGCCCTGGCCTGTGTGGCTGGTTCGATTCCCAGTCAGGGCACATGCCCTTGGTTGCAGGCCAGGTTCACAGTCGGAAGCGTGGGAGAGGCAACCACACATTGATGTTCCTTCTCTCTCCTCTGCTTCCCACCCTCTCTAGAAATAAATGAAATATTTTTTTAAAAAAAAGATATGTCATGCTTTTGGTAAGGGAGAGAACACTGGTCAGACCATTTCCCATTCTGTTTGTACTTCCAGACCTTCGGTGACTCGTAGAATTGTCATTCCACACGTAACAACCAGAAACCTTAATTTCTTAGGCGCCCACGTGTTAGGAAGGCATTAAATAGAGCTGGTTACACTAGACATTAGGATCACTTGGAGAACTTTTAAAACAGCTAATATCTGGGACTTACCCTCAGAGATTCTGACCTGTCAGTCTGAGGCGAGACCTAGGCATTGGCCTTTTTGTAAACCCTTAGTGGGGTTAGCGTGCGGCCAGGGCTCAGAACTGCCACGCCGAGCTCTGCAGTGCAAAAATAGAGGAGAAGCCATGAATTAGTGTCGGGTCCTCGTATTGCAGGAGTTTGTGCAGCCTGGGACTTAAGACATTCTTCTCCGATAAACCGGTAAAACACTTACCCGTTGTTGACTGAGTAATGCCACTCAAAGCAAGACAGCACTGCTAAGAGAGGCACCCTTCCTGGCCTCACCCCAACCCCTCTTCCTCTCAAAGGAGAACCAAGTGGGCCCGAGTGAGGAGCAGACGCACTGGCTGAAGGTGCGGACATAATGTCGGGAAATCCCTGAGGGGCCCCTCCTGAACCCAACTTCTGTTTTTCACGTCCCCCTGCAGTGCTAACCGTACCCCTCTGTCATCGAAAGTCTCCGTGAACATATAAATGCCTAGGTTTATGTGAACTACTAAGCAAGAAGACACTTTAAACGGTTTCATAATAAACAGCCAACGACTTGAAAAAGAAATATAAAATTCTGAGTCTCCTGAAGTCAACTCTAAGTCCTTCCATTTTTCTCTTGAAAAATGTGTAGAATGTCTCCTGGCACGGACCTCAGGGAGTCTGAACTAGATGCAGGCTGGGAGAGCCACGACGTCCTGCCCCATGTCTGGCAGCCTCAGCGGGCTCCGCCCTTCCGTTTGGGTTTGTTTCCATGTGACTGTGAGGCGCGTGCCCCCAGCTCCGCAGTTAGTGTCTAAGGTTTCTGCACGGACGTCGCTGCTTCCAGAGCCAGAAGGAATATTCCACTTTCCTTCTGCTGCAGGCGTCGTACTTCGAGGCAAACTGTTGGTTTATTTGACTTCTGTTGAATTTTTTTTGGATTTGCAGGAACTTTATTTGATGATAAAGGAGATAAGCATGCCAAAAAAGGAATTTGCATTTGGGAGTGCATCGATAGAATGCACAAGAGGACTCCCATTTTCTTTAATTACTTATATTCACCAGTGGAAATTGAGGTAAAAAGCATTTATGTTTCATTTTCTGAGTATTTGGTGTTGAAGTTTTCCTTACTTTGAGTGTATGCAGACTGTTTAGGCTTTTTAGAAACATCTGAGTAGGTTTCATACTGACACTATTCAGAAGTCTGACAGACTCCGGCTTTGGAGTGTGATGGAGTGGAGACCGTCCACCACATTCCTGACCACAGAAATTAGGATCTGGCCCCCAAAACCTGGAAGGGATAACTCCAAGAGTATTAAAGCAAGTCAACTTGAAACCTCAACAGGTCAGCTAAACTGAAAAGTCCCAAACACTTTAGAAAAGAATCCCCTAGGTTATCCGCTCCGAATCCACTGGCGAGCCCTCTCAGGAAGCAGGGGTGTTTGGAGCCGCCCAGTCCAGGAGGGATGGCGAGCTCCCCCTGAGCATCTGCGTGGAGGCAGGCCCTGGGATGGGACGGGCGGGCGTGAGGAGCAAAGCACCTCGCTGAGGGGCAAGAGGCCCCCGGCCTGGGCCCCGTGCATCAGGGCCCCACCCTGGCCGTTCTCCAGCTGCCCCTTCCTCAGGTGGTGAGGGGTTCGAGAGACCAAGATACAGACTTGGGTGCCCCTCCTTCATCTAAACCACCCTCTGGAACCTCAGAATTCCTTAGCCAAATTCAAGTTCCTCACCAACCCGCTTCTCCAAGTCTGTTTCCCAAGCCGGTGTATGTGCCCTAGGCCCAAAGGGCAGCCAAGAAGTAGCTTTTTGGCAGAAAATGGACAGAGTTTAGCTTCGTGGGCTGGGATTTACACACACATCGTAAGTGAACCTCAGAATGCAGGGTAGCGCCGGGTGGAGGAGTAGGGGTCCCTCCAAGGACAGTGGGCTGGGGCCGGCCCCTTCGTGCCACTCACTTTCCCGTGGAGAGAATTCTGAGGAGTCCATTAAGAAGTTGTATTTGTCAAGGTAGGAGGGCAGAACATATTTTATTGCATTCTTTATCTCTGTGTATACATTTCAATATTTAGACTTGCGGTATTTGAACCTCCGTTCATACTCTTGCCCTTTAAACAGGCCCTGAAGCCCAATGTCAATGTCTCCAGCCTCAAGAAGTGGGACTACTACACAGAGGAGACCCTTTCCACGGGGCCTTCGTATGACTGGGTGATGCTGACCCCCAAGCAGTTGCCCTCCGAGGACGTGGAGCCGGCCAGGGAGGCCGGGCCCCAGAGCCAGAGGAGAACAGTGTGGCCATGCTACGATGACGTCAGCTGTGCTCAGCCCGACGCCCTGACTGGCCTCTTCAGTGTGAGTGGACAGTGTGGGGGCCCAGGGGCCTCAGGAGCCAGGCTGAGTGCAGAGTGGTTGGTTCACACGCTTCTGGACGCGGCTCTCCTCACTCTGCTCGAGGGAGCACTCCAGGACTGTGAGGAAGCCAGATGTGCTCCCCAGAATCCATGGGGGGCCAGGCTCAGCTACTGGGAAAGTCTCCATAAAAATGACTTTTCCAGCTTCACAAGGAAGCAATCACACAAATGGAGCAATTTGTAGCCTCCCAGCGATTCTAGCTGCCCAAGCAGCCTGAGTCAGGCCTGGGTTATGGCTCTTGTGGGTGCTCTGCTTCCTCTGGTCAGAAGTGTGGGCAGCTGGTGGCCTGGTGGGCGCCCTGCCAGCCATCTTCCAGAAGGAATATTCTGGAGAGAAACCCTCCTGGCAGAGCCGCCCTGGTGAGAGCAGCAGCCCGGAGTTAGATAGGGCCCGGCGGCTCCTGAGGAGGCTCGCCGGTTTTCTGACCAGAGCGGCGCTCCACTCCGCAGAGGCAGCACGGTCACAGAGGCGGCTGTCCTGCTTCCCTGTCCCAAGGAAGTTCCGTGCCTTTGGGACTTCTCGATTCGTTCTTTCCACATCTGGTTTGAATCGTCGCAGCTGAGGGCTCCTCCATCAAGGACAGGCTTCTCATCTGCCTCAGCTGTTAGGGTTTGGACACCGGCCCAGTACCTGACCTTTTGCTGCGGCCATCAGATTTCCTATGGGCTGGCCAGGGGTGTTCAGGATACATATTTCTTCCCTGTGCTGAAGCCGTTTGTGTAAAAAGCCCTGGTTAAAGACCCTGATAAGTCACCCTTGCCGCAGGGCATCACTGCAGCTGGAGCTCGCACAGCGGTTCCCGGCTTGGGAAGCCTCAGGCCCCGTGTTTACCACTGGCTTCAGCTGCCCTGTGGCCACACTGCTCATCTGGGCCCAGGACCAGGGAGATGTGGCTTCGGGGCACGTCCTGATTTCTATGAAATACTTATCCGTCAAAAAACCCCTTTTAATTATTTTGCAGGAAATTGAAAGATTGGAGCATAAATTGAACCAGACCCCTGAGAAGTGGCAGCAGCTGTGGGAAAGGGTCACTGCGGACCTAAAAGAACAGCCCCAAGCAGACCACGTGAGTTGGCAGGGCCCCTGGAGGAGCTGCTTTGTTGAGGGTGCTAGGGCAGGTGGGGCCGCTGCCACAGGTAACCCAGGTGGGCTTATGGCTGAAAGGAAGGGTGGAAAAGGAGGGGTCGTGCCCTGGGGTTTTGGGGCAGAAAGTTCCAAACAGCTGACTACTTCCTGCGTGTCTCACTTTACCACAGTGACATAATTCTCACGGTTCAGGACCCCGTGTCCGGGGAAATTACTGGTTCTTTTCTGTCGGGGAGCCTCTGTGGGTTCAGCTGATCTCCTACCACGTGGGGGAGGAGGGGACTGCCAAGACCGTATTTGCTCCAGAGAAATCATCACAGAAATTGGAGTATTTTTAAATGACTGAATATGCTGTCAGTTGATCACACCCCCCCTTTCTGTGTCTGACTTGAAAAACTTACCAAGCACATGGCGTGTGCACAGGACCGTGCTGAGCACCTGCACACGTTGCCTCCCGTTCCCCCACGGTGAGGGGGCGGTCTCCGTCTCACACGTGTGGGCTGCACCAGTACCTGACCTGCACAGGCAGCACACAGCGAGCACTCGGGACGGCCGCCAGTCACACCCACGTCCGATCGGCTCCAAGTGCAGCAAAGGGAAGTTAGGACAGTGTTCTGAGAGCACTGTGGGGGAAAGGCGAGGTCAGCAGGCGCAGGAGCCCAGGGGGGTCAAGGAGAATGGCGTGTAGAAGGAAGGCTCAGCGTGATTTGGAAGGGGCTCCTGCCTCAAATAGCAATTCAGGAGCCGTGATCAGACAGGCCGTAGGTGGATGACATCTTTTCCCCTCAGGGAAAAAAATATATTTTTGTCTTTTTTTTCCTGACAATAGAAGTGAGATATATTTGTTCTTTTATTTTTTAAAAGGTTTTATTTATTTAATTTTAAAGAGAGGGGAAGGGATGGAGAAAGACAGGGAGAGAAACATCAATATGGGGTTGCCTCTCACATGGCCCCCACTGGGGACCTGGCCTGCAACCCAGGCATGTGCCCTGACTGGGAATCGAACCTACAACCCTTTGGTTCACAGCCTACACTCAATCCACTGAGCTACACCAGCCAGGGCTATATGTATTCTCTTAAATAAGACAATACACAGAAAGTTATAAACTAGAAGATAAGAATCACCCTCAATTTATAACCTAAAACAAACTACCATGCTGTCAAGCTTGTTTTATTCTAAACACACATATGAAAGGGATTTGCTGTGTGTGCTCTTTTCAAACCTGCTTTCTTTCTCACCTGCTACATGGCGTACATGTCCTTGCACTTGTCAGGATATAAATCAGCAGCATCGCTTTAATGGCTGTTAGAATTCCATGGTATGGAAACTTGTTGTTTAACCAGTCCCCTAGAGATAGACATTCGTTTCCAGTTTTTTACCGTTCTAAACATCTCCAGGATAAACATCTTTATACATATATTCTGCCCATTGCTTTTTTCCCCTGAGATAGCTGTTGAGAAATTTAGAAATTACTGGATGAGTTGCTTCAGGCCTTTAAAAGCCTTCCCAGCTCCTGTTCGTTCTTGTTCAGCCGCAGAGACACCCCCCGGGCTCCCCGGGAATTGTGTCTCCCAACCTGCCTTCCTATCAGAAGAGGTCCGTGCTGCACCTGGCCGACAGCAGCGCCGGGGAGGAGCAGAACGCCAGCATCTCGCCGTCCAACGGCGTGGACCGGAGAGCAGCCACGCTGTACAGCCAGTACACGTCCAGGAACGACGAGAACAGGTGCGCGGTGCCGCACCCTGCCGCTGGGCTGAGTCGCCCCCGCCAAACCACCACCCGCCCCCTCCCGGCCCCCGCTGCGCCTCAGCCTGGGAACAGGCTGGGCCAGTGCAGCGCAGCCTGCCATAGACGGGACCGGATCTGCTTTGAGTCTTTGTTTCAGTCATAAATGCGTGAAATGGTTCTTTGAAGAGGAAATACCAAAATTACAATTAGAATGATGCCAAGAGGTGGTAGTTATTTGTGGCCTGGTCCTGACTGGTGTTACCTCACGTCTGCCAGGTCTGTTGAGGGATTAGGTGTTAGTCAGCACTTTCTCGGCGGCGGCGCACACCAGGAACCTAGCCCATGCCAGCTCCAGCAAACAGGGAAGGCCGCGGCTGTGCGGGTGTCACAGTCTGCAGGCTCCTGCCCACCGGCCGGCTCCACTTTCTCCCGTGGGTGGCGGCTGCTCCTGCGGGGCAGCCGAACCCTGCAGGTTTGCTATTCAGTTATTCCAGGGGAAAGTGCCTGTCTTTCCCCAAAGATCTAGCGAAAGAATTCCAGGGAGAACCCTGATTGGGTTTGGGGTTGTGGGTTTTTTTGGATCATTTGAGGGAAATAGAGATTCAGCAAAGAAAAAGAGCAGATATCCCTTTACAAATTTCTTTAAATGAAAAATCGAACTGCCCTCTTGTCATTTCCTCTAGGTCTTTCGAAGGCACGCTTTACAAAAGAGGGGCCCTGCTGAAAGGCTGGAAGCCCCGCTGGTTCGTTTTGGATGTGACAAAACATCAGGTGAGGCCGTCGGCTGTGGGAGGCACTCTGCAGGTGTGACTCAGTGGGTCTCCGTGTGCAGGCTGCTCGCCTTGGGGCTCCTCCAAGGGCCCCGCACATCCCCGAGCGAGGGCAGTAGCCCCCCAAGGCCAGGTCCAAAGTGGCTCTGCCTGCTGTGTGTGGGCAGGACAGTGACAGTTGAGCCCAGAGCATAAGAGCAATACAACTCTGCTTCTTCACGCCCAGATGGCTCCTGCTGCCTGCTCTCGGCCCCAGGCCAGGGGGCAACCAGAGGTTTGCAGCACAGCGCACACTACGCGCACACACGTGCACACACAGAGGCCGGCGGCGGAGCCCCACAATGCAGATTGGCCTCGCAGCACGAAGCACCTGTTCACAACTGAGGGCATTCGACAGGCATTATCGTGCACCTTCCCTGTGCCCATCCCTGTACAGGTTACTGAGGAAGGCACTCTTACTCCTCAAAGAGGACAGCAACAGGGGAGGGCACCTCAAAACAGGCCAGAGTGGTGGGCCCACCACAGCTGGAATTCACAGGGGCAAGTACTAGACTGGACCCCAGGGACCGCGTGAGGAAGTCCTTTGCCCACTGTTAGGTTCTTGGCTATCACTGCAGAGGCCCACACACCCTCAGCATCGTAAACTGGGCTCCAGCGACCTCAGCCCCGCCGCACCTCCCTGCTGAGGCATGGGGTGCAGAGTTTGGCTCTCACCCGTCCCTAAGGGGGAGTCTGTTCAGTTCAGAGCGGTGTGAACTGTCACCTCTCCATAGGCTCTTGTCGGGCCTGCACCTAGAGAGCCTTTCCGGGGGGTCGGTGTGGGGACCACCTTTCCCTCTGTTCAGAGGGCTCCACAAGGGTTGCATAGAGTCGTTGTGGAAGAACGGAGTGAATTTGTTTTCAATATGCCGTGCAAGCCCTTCTTACGGGGCTGTGCTTTAAAGTAACAGTGCCTCTGAAGTCATGGGGTCTACACAGTGTAGAAAATCCCATTAAACTACTAACTGTGGCTCAGGAGAATGCCATAAGTTTCCTGTAATCTACAATGACATCAAATCATATTTGTATTCTGACCAGCCTTTTGGGCTTCTTTCACATGAGAGGCACACAGTTTTCCCACGAGCCCTGCCCACGCCATGCCTGCGGGAGAGGCAGAGAAGGGACAAGGCCAGGACCTCAGGGAGGAGGCTGTGGGCACACTCCTGCTGCGTGAGCAAGAGCGTGAAGCCCAGCTGTGGGCCTGCAAGGCGTTTCCACCAGTCGTCTCTTTCATTTCAAAACCCGGTCTTCTGGTTTTTTCTTATTCCCAAAGTAATGCATGTTTGTTCTGCGAGTCCTCTGGGTTCCCCACTCCCTGAGATAACCGCTGTTAATAATTTGGTATATATTTCTCTAAATAGTTTTCATATATGTGTGTGTGTAGATGAATACGTATGTACATATAGTTTGAGTTGCTAGGAAGGTTAAATGCATGCTTCACATACAAAAGAATCAGAACAGTCCCGGAACATGGTAACCACTCAAACACTACGCTACTTACCCAGTAACAGTGTTTCAGAAATTATAGCTACATGCTCGTTGGCAACTTCCTTTTTAAATAATGCATTTGAACATGTTTTCTTGCCAGTTTATTCAGGTCTTCTTTATCACTTTTAAAAGGCTGTGTAGTTTTCCACGTCACTGCTGCACCCCCATGTAATCAATCAGCACCCCATTGAAAGGCAGGTGCATCTCTTCAGTTTTTAGCTGCTAAAACCAGCGCTGGAGGAAACCTCTGATGCGTGTGTCTGCGTGCTCGTGGGGGTGTTTGTACAGGGTGGTTTCCAGAGGTGGGGAGAGTGCATCGGGAGGCACAGGCATTTTAAATCACCATTGATCCTGCCAGATTGCCCTCCAAAAACCTCTGACAAGTTATATTCCCAGTTAGAGTATGTAATGCCTTACCTTCGACCCGAATATTACCAGCCACTTGTATTTATTTATTATCAGTCGTTCTTAATATTTCTTAATACAAGTGAAGGGTCTTCGGAAGTCTCGTTGGTTTCACCTGCTCACTGTCCTCTGACAGTGAGCTCGCACCTGCTTTCCGATGCATGAAGGTCATCTGTGTTTCTCCTGGGACTTGCTTGAGGTCCTCCAACGGTTTTTTTCTAGGATTTTTATCTTTTTCTTATCAATTTCTAGGAGTCCTGTATGTATTCTAGACATTCGCCTCTTTTTACATGTTCCATATAGTTTTACAGTTGTTGGTTGCCATGTAATTTTATCTTTTAATATGTAGTTCACTTATTTGTTCAGATCTCACAAAAATGCCTTTTTCCGGCTTTCTCCTGGCCACCTAGTAGTTTTTCCTAGAAGCAGCCAGTGCCCCCCGTCTCTTGTCTGTTCTCCCAGTCTGGGCCGACACGGAGGAGCGCTCCCAGACGCAGCCGACAGGCCACGCCGCTCTCCCTTTCCGCGCCTCTTACTTCCTGTCTGTGCCCCTGTGGTTCCAGCTGCGATACTACGACTCGGGAGAGGACACCAGCTGCAAAGGCCACATTGACCTGGCGGAAGTGGAAATGGTCGTGCCCGCTGGCCCCAGCATGGGGGCCCCGAAGCACACGAGTGATAAGGCTTTCTTCGACGTAAGTTCATCTTTTTCTGGCACTGTGTATGATTTTGCTACCCGTCTCCCTCTGAGAATTGTGGGGCCTCAGAGCCACTGGTGGTGACTGTACATGGGTCACAGACCCCCTGGCTATGGGAATTGCTGCAGAACTTGGATTCAGCGCTCTGACCCCCGACCTGACCTCTCCCCGGTCTCCATTTCCCTCAGAAGGCCGCACACTGCTTTGCACAAAGGACTCTTCTGAAGGTACTCAGTCACATAGGAAAGGAAAGCAGATGAACTCCTTGTTAAATACTGTTTGTTGTTTCACTCACCACCCACTGTCAGGAACAGAAGGAAGACGACTTCCTTTGTTTCCAGTGCTTGACCACCACAGAAACTGTCCTTAGTCACACGCGATGACTGTCCGCCCTACTTCTTCAGCACCTATTAGGTGGGCCTCGGGGCATTTTGTGGGCCACCTGGTAAGGGCCCTGTGCAGACCACGGGGCCGCATCCCTAACTCTGGGTTTCCAGTGTGGCTGCCACTGGAGGCTGGAGAAGAGGACAGAGGGGCACAGGAGCCGACCTCGTCGTGGTCTGGATGAGTCTCCGGCTGCCCCGAGGCGCACAGGGAGCGCACGCCGCACCTGCCCCGCGTTGCTGCCGTGTGCGGGAGAGGCTGGGGGCGCAGTCCACGCCAACCCTCCTCCCTAGTCTAGGAAAGCCCCAGGAAGAGGCAGCGCAGGGTTGTCCTCGTGTGTCTCCGTCCTGCCAGTGCCTTCCAGCAGGTTTTAACCTGCCCTGGGGTGTTAATCGTCCCCTGTAGCTTTGGGAACTAGAAAAGTAACGGGAAGAGAGAAAGGGACAGTGCGGTCCCGGAGGAGAAAGAGCCCTCAGCGGTTCTGGGGCGGTGCGGGAGCTAGGTTACGGGGGTGGCCTTGCACACTTGCCTCGCAACAGCCCTGCCCTTCACCTCTGGGTCTCTCCCTTTGGTGTCTTAGCTCAAGACCAGCAGACGTGTGTACAACTTCTGTGCCCAGGACGGGCAGAGCGCCCAACAGTGGATGGACCGGATCCAGAGCTGTATCTCCGACGCCTGACGCCCACGGTCACCCAAGCAGAAGAGAGGAAAGACTCAGGCTGCCAGACAAGGAAAGTGCCTGAGCCCCTGGGGAGCCGGCAGCGCCCTCTTTGGCTCTGATGAGTCGGCCCAGTGTGCGAGGTCCCCCGGCCACTCTTACCCAGTCCCCGCTCCCGGCAGTTGCTGCGCCTGCTTAGCCTGTGTCTCACAGGTCTGGTCGGAAGCACCAGGCACTTCCTGTGTCTTGCAGCAGGTTGTTCTCACAGGGCCCCGCTGCTCCGGGGTCAGAAGAGTGCTTTCTGAGCCAGCTGCCCGCCATCCCCTAGGCCAAAGGGCTGCCGCCTACTCGCGTCCTTCTTCACGAAAGCTAGAGCCTTTCTGTTCCCCCAAGGTCGTAATGTCCTTGGAGAGCTTTCTGACAAGCAAAAATCAAAACCCTCCAAGGTTCTTATATTCTGCACAGAACAGGCTTTCCCGCCCTTAGTGAGTCTCCACTCTCTGGTGCTGCCAAGAGGTTCTTCCACGACCTCTGCCCGGCCCCTGGGGTTCACACCAGCAGCGTCGGAGCTCAGTGGTGGGCACCGTGGGCGCACACGGGGCTCGCCTGGCGGAAAGGTCATCCAGGGAACAAGGTGGCACTGACCCAGCCAGTGTGGGGAAGCGTGGCCTCCAAAACACCAGGCACTCTCGGCCAAGATGCCCCGAGGGTCCAGGACCGAGTGTCCCCACGTGTTCCTCCACTCCCTGACAGCTTCTCACACGAGATAACTTTCAGAAAGCTGAGTGCACTAACCCACAAAACAAACACTTGTACTGACCTCCTAATGAAGCGAAATCAGAAAGACAGAGCCAGCCACTTGTGACCACACCTGGGACGAGGGCTGCCTCGGTCGCAGCACGCGGTGGTGTGACTGGAAACCCAAACGGCACGTGGGCACAGGAGCGTAAGAACTGTTTTTAGATTTTTTTTTACTTTTGATAACCTTGGGTCTGCTCGGCCTACAACCTGAGGAGAGCTGCTTGTTCTCGGGAACGGCGGCGTCTCTGCTACGCCCCGGCGGGTGGCCAGTCCGGCAGCCGGGCCACGGCGCTTGTTTTTGAATGTTAATATGTTAAATACCAAACTAATATTTCAAAGACGTGTATATATGACTTCTATATCCTTGTTCTTCAGACAGTCTTCTTATAATTTAAAATTAACTGAACTGAGTCAGTCATAAGATTTCAATAATAAAATGGTTCCCTTTTAAAAAACTAAAAAACCACTTTGTAGATTAAAAATAAGACATTTTCAAATTTAAACACTAGGAAATAGATCTGTGATATGTAAGAAATTGAGGGAATAATAAGAATGAAGGATTTTTCTATCATTTTCATTTTATAAATGTCACCTGTGAAAATGGTTTTTGCACATTATTTGTATTTTTTCTTTGTATATGAAATAATTTTTGTACTATGTAAAATATGGAGCCCATTGTACCTTCAGCTGTTTGAGACTGTATACAGCGCTTCTTTTATAACTGGATTCTTTTAACCTTCACAAAGGTGTTACATGCCTTCCATTCACTAACCCCCTTGAATTAAATTTATTTCTTAAGAAAAAGCATCCCTCATTTCCAGTGAAACAAAGCTCATTTCAGTGCTGCAGCTCTCAGAGGCAGCACCCAGGACTCCTACGTGGGACCGACCGGCCACGGGAAGGCCCAGCAGGACCCACTTCCGACCCCGGGTCTGTTAACGTCATCACTGCCTTTGCTCGCAAAGGAGCCCTAGACACTGGGCGTGCTGGCCGGAGCCCGGGTCCCAGCAACTCAGCTGCAGAGTTTAGAGACAGGCCTGAGGCCACCCGCCCACCCTGTGCCGCTCGTGGGCTGGGTGAAATTGGCTGAGTCCTTTACCCCTTCGGGGGTCACAGCTCCACCACCTGTGGCATGTGGCAGCGTGTGCGAATTTGGGCAGGAGAAACCGAGTTAGTTTCACAACAGAATATCCTGCTTCAGGAACTAGTTAAACAGCACAAGGGATGGACCTGTGATCTCAGCTCTGGATGGCGCCTCCGCTAGTTAAGCCCTTGGAGTTTACCTTGGGGACCTTGGCCCCGTCCTGACATGCAGCCGACAGAATGCAGGTTCTTTTGGTCCCCAGGAGCCATCTCTGAGGCAGGCAGAAGGGGTCCCCAGCCACCGGAGAGGCTGTGGCAGTGACATCCCCTCCTCGAGTTTTCTTTCCTCATGGCTGGCCCTGGGACCTGCCGTCTGCCCCCAGTGCCCCTGACATCAATCAGGAGCCCTGTTCACAGTGTCGTGGGAGGGCGGTGGGGACTGGGCTCCAGGGAAGACCCTGCACCCCCCCTGTACCCCTGTGGCAGAGCCTTTCCCAGTTCAGGCTCCAGAGAGATGCAGACCCGGGCAGCACAGCAGCGTAAGGCCCACCCCCAACCCCCATCCAAGCCCTTTCTCCTCCCGCCCAACGCCCTCCACCCTGCGGGCTCTGCTCCAGAGCTAGAGTTGGACTGTTAATAACAGTGTGGCGGTTTGCTCCTCAGTGGAAATGCATTTCTAGAGATTTTGTCAGGAGTTCTTTTAAAAGTTGTTAAGTAACCCCATTATCCTATAAAGAATTTCTGAAAGATCTCAAGCTGATAACTAGGAAATGGCTTCAGTAGTGTCCAACAACTGGAAGTACGAATCAGGCAAAGAAGCGGTGGGGGTGCTGGGAGAGTTGCGTGACCCCAGTACTGGGGGGTCTTGGCCTGAAAGCAAAAAGGAATAGATGGCGTTTGTTTTCATAATATTTTATTTAACCCAGTATATCAAAATTATTACTTATACATGCATCATTACAATGAATTATTCATGAAATAGTTTACATCTTTGTTCATACTGAGTCCTCAAAATCCAGCGTGTGTTTTACACTTACCGCACATCTCAGTTCGGACTAGTGTGTCATCTTGCTGAAAGTTCTCACACCAAACGCACATCCTTCTGCACCGGCTCCCTCTCCAACACCCACTGGGGGCCCGGCAAGTCTCTCCAGTTCTGACATTTACTCCCCAGAGTTGGTGCAGACCCACAGGCTGGAGACCTCACCGTCCCGCTCCTCTCCCCAGAAGGTGAAAGTTCCCGCCCTCGTTCACAGGTTTGCCCTTCCCGGACACCATCCCCCGTCCTGAAGCTGGGGGGGGGGGCACCCCGGGGCACCCCACCACTCCGTCCGCTCAACCCAGGTGAACAACAGGCCTTCCCACAGGGAAATTCTAAGGGTTTTAGGGACCTGACGCCAGGCACCCCGGGCAGAGACCAATTTCTGTTTATTATTACACCTTATTTCCAGTTTTTTTATACTTGAAAAAAGAATTTTATTTAATAAGGACATCTTTAAGGTGAATCTTCTGATTTATACATTCAATTGGAAAGGTGCCATTGCAACCAGCCTCTAGAATACTTTGTACGAAGAATTACTAAGAAGGTAATCACTTTCTTTTCTTGTCGGTAAGCTGTTTTATTTTTTAGTTTATTTTTGTTCACGTACAGCTTTCTGCCTTCTCCCCCCATCCCTCCCCACCCCCTAGTCCTCCCTACCTCCCTCCCATTTCCACCCCCCTTGTTACTGTCCATGTGTCCTTTATACTTGTTCCTGCAAACCCTTCAGCCTGTTCTTTATTTCAGTGTCTGGCTGTACTTCACTTGCTTGTTCGTTTTGTTGATCAGGGCCCTGTTGATGGTGAGATCATAAAAACACGGAACACTTCACAAATCTACACGTCATCCTTGTGCAGGGGCCTTGCTAGTCTTCTCTGTACTGTTCCCCTGTCAGTGTGTGTGCGCTGCTGGAGCGAGCACCTTATTTCCAGTTCTGCCAGGCGAAGCCACGCAGGTTTAGAGCACGTCACCTGCTCTCAGGAGAGCCTGCAGTGGGAGGAGAGACCCGGGTGCCGGCTCTGCTTCGCTGCATGGCCTTGAACCAGTCCCTTTGCTGGGCTTTGACCTATAAAACGAAGGACCTAGGTGGTCTGTAATTGTGTGATTACAGCTGTTTACCTTAGCAAACGCTCAGGTTCCAAACTTAGATTTAAAGGATTTGCTGGAAACGACCAAATCCTCTCTAAATCCTTGTTTTCTGAGATTATAATGTACGCCTGAGGCTTCTGCTTTGGCCGGGACAGGGTGGGGCTAGACAAACGGTGTTTCTAACAAGCTCCCAGGCGATGCTGAGGCTCGTGGTCCGGGGACCACACTGGAGGTGACAGATGTTAGGACGCAGGGCAGGGGCAGGTGGGAAGGAGTCAACACGGATGCCATCCCTGTGAAAGAGAAAGAGGGGAGGAAGCTGGGCAGAGAGGCCGAGGCTGCAGTGCAGTTCTAAGGAAGGTCAGCTCACGGGGGTGGCAGGGGGAGGCCCTCCAGCCATCAGGAACCCCACAAGCCCCCGCATCTCTCCAGAACAGGGCTGCGTAGCATCCACAGCCGCACAGCCATCAGCGGGCAGCAGCCCACAGGAAGCGTGGTGTTCGTGGGAGGAACAGATCCATGAGCACGGCCAGGCCCTGGGGCCGAGGGGCACAACCTCTGCAGCCAGAGACAGGAGGCCAGAGGGAAGCCTTTGCCTAGTGGTGCCCACCTGTCCCTTGTGCCACATAGATCTGCTCACCCACCAGGTTCAGAGCGCAGCTTCCCATTTCCCCTGGGCTGGTCCTGAGGGACACGGAGGAGGAGGGAGGTCACGGGCCTAACCCCAGCCCCTGGCAGTGCATCCTGTCTCCTCCGTGCATCCCAAATCCCCTCACCCCCAACAACGCCGGCAGATAAGGCAGCACCTGGTCAGGGAAGGCACTACCTCGTCGTGTGCCCCGGCCTGCGTTCCAATGGGGGGAAGTGGGGCCTAAGTGCCTGGCAGTCAAACCCCTCTTAGTTCAGGTTCATGCCTGTGACCCTCCTGATTATAGGGGGGACTGCCTGGACGTGCCCAGTGGGTCACTGGATCCCACACATTCCTGCCTGCCCCTGGTATGTGAACTCGGGGTTCGACAGCCCCTCCTGGCCCCAGACACGGGAATCCAAAGTGCACGGGTGGCAGCTATAAACTAGGGCGGCAGGACCCCTGCCGTGCCCGGGTCGGATGCTGCTCTGGGTAGAATTCCGTGCTTTTGCACCAGGTAAAGTCCCTGGATGTGCTGCTGACGGAGGCGCTGTGGTCGGGAAAGGCGAACTCAGGCCCAGAGTAGGTCCCTGTCCCTGTGAAGATGAACAGCTGGCCCTTCCAGGGTGGAAGGAGCTGATGTAGTTGATGTGTCCCCAAGAGGTGAGTTGGTGGCCTTGAGGGCCAGTTCCACACCAGGGGCCTGGCTTTGGTCTCTTGCTGACAGGCCAGTTGGACATTTGGAGGCAGCGGGACCTTGAGTGGCCTTGGTACGTGGCAGAGCCTGAGCTGTTGGGCCCACGTTAGTCCTTGTGTGGCTTCTGCCTCCGTCACTCCGGCCACTCCACCCGAATGCCTGTGAGCTGGTTCGGGCACGGCCGGGCCAAGGCCTGCCTGCTGTGACCGTCCAGGCCATTTGTGTGCTTGCCTGTTCGGCACCTCTTCCGTGCTGGGTGCATTCCAAGGGGCGTTAACATGCGGCCCTAACATCTTCACACTTCGTGTTTTCTCCCATATGTCGACCTGCGTGCCTCTCCCCACACCTCCTTGCCCCCAGTCTTCCGGTCTTTTCCTTCCAAGCCCCTGACCAAATGGCCAGGCCATTGGCCTCTGCCCAAGAGTGTGACCACCTTCTGGAGCCCAGCGCAGAAGGCCAAGCACCCTGCTCACAGCCCCGCGTGCTGGGAACGCTTCCGGCCCTCACACCTCCGTCCTGCGGCCGCCGCGTGCAGGTCAGCCAGCCGATGAACCGAGCTCTGGCTTTTTCCTCTCCCCTTAGCTGGTTGTACAGGGCCCTGCGTGTGGCCAAAGGTATGAGCCAGAGGCCAGTCTCTGGCTACGTCCCCTGCAGTCTACGTGTGCCAACCAGGCCCACTCAGCTCAGTCCCAGGGGCAGCGTTCCCATCCTCAGAGGGACCATGCGCCCCACAGACCCAGCTCACCACCAGGTCCCGCCTGGTGTGCCATGCTCACCTGTCCCGTCTCCACCAGGGCTGAGTGACAGGCCGGAGGTTGTTCCTCAGAAGGTGTGTGATCAGTCCGCTGCTGCGGGTGGCGGGCTTGCTTTGTGATTGTCCCGCCGGGACTCTCCATAAGCTCCATGCTACACCTTTCCCTGTTCCTGGAACCCACACTTCCCACGCCCAGGCCGCCTGCCGGCTCCTCCAGGGCCGCTCTGCCTCGGCAGGGTCAGACAGCCACATGGAGAGTCCGTGGCAGCCGCCGCCACCCCTTCACCCTTCACGTGAACGGCGGGATTAACCTCTGCCGCATCCCCTGGGACGTGACGCTACTTTTAACTACTATCTTGGGCAGGGCAGGGGAGCAGGGAGAAAGCAGTTCCAGAAGTTTCCTCTTGGCCGCCTTGGCTCCTACCTAGTAGGCCAGGGACCCAGTGTGGGAGTCACTGCAAATGTCGGCAGCGCACATGAGTTCTGCCTAAGTGAACACCAGGGACCGGGACTGCCGCGGGCTCCCGGACCCAGAGAGCCCAGGGCAAGCAGGTGGCCGTCAGGGGCCCCTCTACGAAGGGCCCGTGGTGATGCTTGAGTCCCAGGATGTTAATGTCGACTCAGACTTTGTGTCTGCAAGTCCTCCAGTGCCTTACTATTCTCCTTTCTCTAGTGAACACCTACCCAAACAATGGCCATGGCCTTGGGGAGAAAACACTGAAGGAATCATTACGAAACAGGCTGGAGACCTGGCTGCCTCCTCAGTGGGCTCCAGGCCTGGGGGGTGAGTGGGGACCATGAGCTTCTAGTGCCCCTGCCTCCTGCTCCCCCACTTCCCTGCCCGCTTTTTGGCTGTAGGTGTGAAGCAGAGCTGTGCTGTCCGCCTGTCTGTTCTGCCCCCGAGGATGCCATGTCCTGGTCGCCACCTCCACAGCCTCCTGTGGGCCAGCGCCCCCTGCTGGCCCCGCCGTCACGCCGGCCTTACATAATTCATCCGACCAGTGCTCCACTTTCCTCGGCTTTTTAAATGCCTCCCCTGCCATCTCCCAGGAGAGCTCAGGTGTTAACATCTGGCTGAGTGTCGGCTACTCCTTTCCAGAATACTAACTAAAAGCCCTTGCAACAAAGCCTGGCCATCCCCTGCTGTTCTGGCTGGGGTATGAAATCTCTCTCAGGGTTGGGCACCATCCTGCGAAGCAAAGTGGCGCGGGTTCGAATCCTGGTCAGGGCGCATGCTTGGGTTGTGGGTCTGGTCCCCCTTCCAGGCACATACGAGAGACAACTGGTGGATGTTTCTCACCACCGATGTTTCTCTCCCTCTTTCTCTAAAAATAAACAAAATCTTTTTCTTAAAAAAAATTTGTGCGTCTCAAGAAAGTGTCCTTTGGTCAATGGACTCTTGCTTGTCCAGTCTTACATTCCAGCCCCTTAATCAAGCACTGCCAAAACCCGGGCCCGGTCCCCTGGCTGCCAGCGTCCACGACAGTGACCGCTCTCATGGCGTGGTCTCGTACCTCCCTTTCCAGACCCAGTGTGTCCACAGCCAGGTCATTCTGGAACACAGCCCTGAGCACTGTCCTTGGCAGTCAGGGGAGGAAGTCGGGGCCACTCCTGCGGGAGCGCCCGTTGCCCTGTGGGGTGAGGCCTCTGTGCACCTCAGGACAGCGGAGGTGTAGCTCCTACAAGGAAGGGTGGGCCACCGCTGCGAGCCCAGGGGGTGCGGGAGGCTGCAGCCCCACGTCCGCAGGGACACCCCCAACATGTCTCCATCTCACATGCCAGGGTTCCAGGTTTTCACCACCGGGGCCTGACCTTCGACCTCCGAATTGCTGGCTGAGCGTCCAGGCTTATCAGGGGCCCTGCAACTCCATCAGTCCGTCTGGAGCCTGCCACTCAGCGTTATCTGCTCCCACTGCAAGAGATAAGGGCCCCTTCGTAAGCTACCGCAGCGGCTGGTTGCCTCTCACACTCATCCACGGACTGCGTGCTGGTGGCCGCAGTCCCTGCCATCCCTCTGCAGGACATCGGTGTAAGCAGGCAGTGACCAGCCGGTTTTGGAAGGCATGGTTCCCCCATCTATGCCAAATGCCAAAATGACCACCCTGCCACGGCACGGCTCCCGTCTAGCAATGTCGCCAGGTCCGCACCAGCGAAGTATTCGGCATTTGAGCGGGTCCCTTGCTCCAGGGACTATCTGAGGCCCCCACTAGGCCAACATGTCATCTTTCCGCCCCCTTCCTTCTGAGTGAGACAGTCCCGAATCCCAGACAGTCCTGAGTGAGACAGTTTCCTCACCACTCATGTTAGTTCTGGCCCTCGAAGAAGCAGACAGCAAGGCGAGATTCCATGTACAAGAGATTTGGAGGGAAACACGTGTGAGGAAAGACGGGCAGGCGGCTGGGAAGGACTTCAGACCAGGATGCAGGTCAGGTCTAAGCAAGCGTCGAGGCTGGTGGGGCATCCGTGCGAAAAACAAACGCAGTGCAGACAGCGATGGGTGTCACCGCAGCACGGGCCAGCCTGTAATCGAGAGGTGTGTCTCCACGGCCCGCACCTGCGTTCTAAGGGCCTCTGTCCTTGGGGGCTCCGGACCCGAAGGAACCGAGGTGCCGGCCTGCTCTGCCCGAGGTAAGTGGACCTGCAGCTGGGGCTCTGCCACTCACCAGCTTCCCGGCCTGGGCGGCTCCTCACTTCTCTGAGCCCCATTTTCCTCTGCGGTGAAACAAGACTGAACACTGATGGCAGCCGTGGGAGAACCCAGCACAGAGTGGACTCTCTGTAAAGTGTTAGTCGAATCAGATTCATCCAACAAGCGGGGGGTGAACAACCAGCTCAGGCTGGGCACTCAGGAGGCTCTGGATAAGTGAGACTCAGCCGAGGCCCAGGGAGCCCACAGCTGAGAGAAGAGGCACGGCGTCTGGGGGCGGGGTATGAAGACGGCCCCCAAAGACGTTCTCGTCCTAATCCCCAGGGCTTGCTGACATGCTGACCAAGGAGAAGCCAGGTCGCAGGTGGAATCCAGGCTGACTGTCAGCTGATCTCCAGAGTTGTCCCGATGCACCGGTGCCATCACAAGGGTCCTTAGAAGCAGAAGAGGGAGGAAGAAGCGAGTGTCAGAGTGACGTGATATGAGAGAGACTGGACTAGCCATCGCTGGCCGGGGAGACAGACGGGGGCCCCGTGCCAAGGAGTGCGGGCAGCCTCCAGACGCTGGAGAAGGCGAGAAAACGTTCTCCTCTGGAGCCTCCAGAAATGAACACAGCCCAGTGAGACGCTTGTTGAACCTCTGGCCTCCAGAACTATAAGGTAACAAATCTGTGTCGCTTTAAGCCACTAAATTTGCAGTGACTTGTACAGCAGCAGCAGGGAACTGGTGCAGCATCGTCCAGGTAGATTGCAGAGATGCAACGACAGGCGTGTGCGTCACAGGGACACGGGGACACGGGGCGGGAGCTGGTCCGGGCAGCGGGAGGCAGAGAGCGGAGGTGCTGTAGAGAGTGGGGGCTCAGGCCGAGCTCCAGGCACTGACCCTGCGGCTGAGGCCTGGGGAGACGCTCACACACGTGCCCACACAGTCCTGACTCACAGACGGCAGACAAGGGCATGCCCGGCCACTCACGCACACCTGCACACACCCTCGCGACACAGGCCCTCAGACAGGCAGACCCGGCCCGCCGTTGTCTGCATTCCTCCCCATCTCTGGAGACCTCTCTCAATATCTACATTCCCCGGGGGGCAGCCGAGGTCAGCAAGTGAGCCCCAGGGCCGGAGACAGCGGGAAGGCCGGTGGTCTCTGCCCGGGGTCTCCGTAGAAGAGCGGGCGGCCAGAGTGAGCCTGGCCCCCGCAGGTGCTCCCCGCACGCCTCCAGCTGTGGGGTGGAGGGGGCTGGGCGTGGGCAGGCCGTGCTCGTCGCCATTCACTTCTCCACTCGCCAGTTACTCGCTCGTTGCCTACCCACGCCTACCCTGGCTGTTCTGGTCTCCAAGTACAACACGCGTTATCCATGCCTGCAAGGTATGAAATCCAGTGCATCTGGAGCGGTGACCGGGTGGGGACCGCTGGGGGCTGTAGAAGGAGGGAGGAGGTGCTGGGCCAGCCCCGGGATGAGAGGAGGCTTCCGCGAGGAAATGACACCTCTGCTGAGTCTTCGCAACGAGGCGGAGCTGGCGGGCAAAGGTGCAAGTGGTAGAGGGCAAGAAAGGACACTAATTTTATTAAGCCTATGTCACATCGATAAATTTAATTTTAAAAAAGAGAAAGGAAGTGAGCCCAGGTTGTGATGTGTGGTTAGAAAGATCTCCCCTGTGAAGACAGCACAGGGCACTGGGAAGGAGAAGGGCCGTCAGGGGCCGTTGTGACTGTTGGGACCAGACACGGCCTTGCCCTGGGGAAGGCAGCGGCAGAGGCTTCAGAGACACACCTAGGGCAGCATCCGCAGGGCTGAGGCCTCACTGGAGCGGGCAGAGGGTGGGGAAGGGGGAAGGGCAGCCAGGTGGGAGCGTGGGGCCCCTGCAAAGAGCCTCAGCCACAGAGTCAGTGCCTGGAGTGGGGGAAGGAGGGCCAGGCAGGGAGCAGAGGCCCTGCCGGCTCCGGCTCCAGCTCCGGCTCCGGCTTCAGCTCCGGCTCCAGCTCCAGCTCCGGCTCCGGCTTCAGCTCCGGCTTCGGCTCCGAGAGCAGGCCTCCGCAGGGCACACAGGGAGAGGGTGTGGGCAGCACTCCCTGGCTCTGGGTGGCCTGTGTCCCACACTGTCAGGCAGGAGCCCCCCCACCAAAGCCATAGCCCCACCTACAGCTTGATGGGGAGAAAGGGATTGAGTAGCCCCTCTGTTCTGTGCAGCGAGGAGTCCACCATCAGCGCAAGAAGGCCTGTGGGGGTCCCAGAGCAGTGTCTGGTCGAGCCAGACTGGGGCCCAGGCTTGTGTGACTGAATCCTGGGTTCAACCTCGCAGGTTTTGCTGCCAAAGGTTGGAGAGTACAGGGGACCCCTGGCCCCCAACTCCCACCCAGATTGGCCAGGTCACTGAGAGGGCATTCAAGGCCAGGGGCCTGCCCCCACGGCCTCACCCTCCTGGGGACTGGACCAGGACACAGAGTTCCCTCTGTGGGTAGAACTAGCCGCCAGGGCCATCCATGGAGGGGACAGCGGTGCCCACAGCTGGGTCAGCGTCCTCACGCCCTCTCTGCATGCCCCGCCCCCCAACCCAGCTGAGAAGCTTGTCTCCTGGGCTAGAAGTGAGGGTTCCTGCCTCCCAGCCCAGCCCCTGCTCGTCCCCACTGTCATGGCTCGGCACCGAGGGGCCTCCCGGGAAAGGCAGGCCTGGCCGGAAGAGAGAGCTCGGGGCTGGCAGCCGGGACACTCCACGCGGCCCTGGTGAGGTCTGGTCCTGTCTGAGCCTCTGCCTCCTCGTCGGAAACGTGAAGCTGGGCTCGTTTACCCTAACGCGTCAGCCACCGCGGTGGCTCCGGGCCCACTCCAGCCCCAAGGTTGGACCACAGATGCCCAGCTGCTGCAGAGAGCCCCCAACCCCGGCCTCGGCAGCGCCACCTCCTCACTCCCGCAGGTCCCCCGGGGTCCCGCAGAGCCCCAGCCAGAGGAATGCGAGCCATTCCCGGCATCTCCTCCCCTGTGGCTGGCCCGAGAGGGGCTGGGGCCTCCGGGCCCCTCTGACAGGAAATTAGCGGGGCCTGGCCTTCCCCATTACCAGCTGCTCTGCTGACCTTGACCCTGTGTTTTCCGAAACCTGACACCACACATTGCAGAGCCTCCTCTCCTTTCTGGAGGAGGCCTGGCTGAGCTCTGCGTCTATCCGGCTTCCAGCCTACACTCGACTTGGCCTTCCTGCCCTGGAATCAGGGCGCCTGGCCTCCAGCCCCTGCTGTGACCCCCAGCAGGCCCCCAGCAGGCCCCCAGAATGCCTTCCAGGAGAGCAGTCTCCCCGTCTCTGAGCCAAGAGGCAGAACCCAGGTGCACGGCGGCTGCGGATGGAAAAGGGGCTGGAGGCACGCCAGGGAGGGTGTGGGAGAGCCCTTAGCAAGCCACCGTGGTCCTGGGAAGAGCAGCGGCGGTTTGGACGAGGGGGGGACAGTGGGGACGTGAGAAAGCTACTGAGGAAACACCACGGAGAGGAACTGGAGGTGGTCCGGCCATGCAGCTGAGGGGCAGAGGCGTCACAGGCCCCTGGGCCTTGCAGTCGCCCGGTGGAGGGCTCGCAGCGCAGCGAGTCTGGCTGAGAGAGTGGGCACCGGGGGCCAACCAGGGCCAGGGCGGGAGGGGGAAGGATCGTAAGTTCGGCCTTGGACCGTGGAGGTCGAGGCGCCTGCCTGTCAGGTGTCCCGGAGAACAACTGGGCATTCAGAGAGGAATCAGCTGGAGAGGCACATTTGGGGACAGAAAAACAGAGCCATCCAAGCTGAGCTGGAGAGGACACCGCCAAGGGCGAGAGTAAGGCGTGGAGGGCCGACAGGCTGTCTGCAGCACACTGCTGCCCACGGCCAGGGAGTGGGGCCGGCGGGAGCCGCGGGAAGAACCAGCAGAGTGCTGGGCCGCGCACCACGCGCAGCAGGGCGTTTCAAGGAGCCAGGAGCAGTCGGGAGTGCGGGGAGCTCCTGGAACACTCAGAGGAGGAAGAGGGAGAGGGTACTTAGGCCTTGGGGACTGCAGGGGACACGTTCTGGTGGAGTGGGGGCCGTAGAGACCCGGCTGCGGTGGGGCGGCAGGTGCTGAGAGGCGAGGGAACAGGGCGTGTCCGGCGACTCCCAGGCTGGGGCAGCAACCGAATGGGGTGAGACGTCAAAGAGAAGATTCTTGTTTGGTCGCTTTTTTTAAAGGCAAATGAGACTGGAGCACGTTTATGAGGCGGAGTCTCAGGACAGCACCTGGGAAAGCAGGGATGACAAGCAGAAAAATGGGTTCCAGCCAGCAGGGGGCTTGCCCAGCCCCCCCCTCCCCAGGCAGGGCTGAGTTGGGGGCAGCGTCTGACCGTGACCTCCTGGCCCGGTGGCATCTTCACGGCCCATCTGCCACGCTGTTCCTGGAAGGCACCCCACCTGCCCTGTCCTGAGAGGAGAAACTGCTGTCGGATGCTGACATCAGGGAAGCAGATCCCAGGGCAGCTTCTGAGGTGCAGTGGGTTCGAGGGGGCTCAGAGAGCACCTCCGACCCTGTGCACTCGGCTGGAAGGGGCGCTGCCCGTGATGGCTCTGCATGCCCCACGGCCAGAGTGCAGCCCCTTCGATGGCCAAGTCCATGCAGCCTATGGGCCCCCCCTACTTAACCCTCGTGGTGGAGAGCAGGGACTGGAGACAGCTGCACAGGCAGGGGTGGGCGTGACTGGGGTATTTATACATCTCCGGGAGGAGAGCCACGGGCCCCTGGGCCTCTCGTGGCACAGGCTCATTGCCAGTGACAGGAAGCCTGTGACCTGCTGATGACACCTCAATCCCTTCAGTCTGGCCTGGCGCTACCACCTGGCACTTCCACCTGGCGCTTCCACCTGGCGCTGCTGGCCCAGGACAGTCCCAGGCAGACCAGAGGGCGGTGGTCTCGGAGGGCAGCCCCTAGACCAGGAGCCTCACCTGAAAACTCCCGAGAAACGCAAGGCCTCAGGCCCCACCCGTCACTGAATCAGAAACTCTCGAGCGGGCCCAGCTGCGTTTAACAAACTTCGAGCTGATCCTGAGATGTCTCTGCCATAAATGTATACACGCTTGTGTGCGATGTAAGCCCACACACACATGAAGCTCGTAACTCGAGTGGCAGAGGACCCTGCCGCAAAGCGGCCGTCTGTATCAGGGGGGACAGACTTGGCCGGTGGGGCGCAGCCCCTTTCTGAGTTGGTTGGGGAGTCGGGTGGCCTCAAGCTCCAGATTCCATCCTGAACGATGGGAAGCTCCTGTTCCTTTGGTTTTCCGTGAACTCTCCCCTCAAGCCTGCTGGTTGCCTCGGAAGAGCCAGGACGCGGAGAGACTGTGGTGCCCAGTGACGTGGGCACCGCCGGCCATGCCCGGGCCCTGCCGGGAGCCCTCGTTCGTTAACGGGGTGGATGCAAAGCCGCCTCTGCGGAGGGTGGGACTGGGGGCCACTCGCCCACGTGCGCCCTGTTCACACCTCACCCTCCTGGAGCATAGGCCACCGCGGCCTCACACTTTCTTCACTCCGTCATCTCCTGGTTTTCCCCGACCTCCCGGGCCAGCTGTCCTGTGGTGCTTATTCCCCCAAAACTCTAACAAGGAGCTGAGTCACCCCGTCCAAGAGCCGCTCCTCTCCTCGAACCAGTTCTCCATTTCCTTCTCCTCAGGTGAGCCCGGGGTCTTTGAGGCTTTAAATGCCACCTAGGTGGCGGGAAGTCCTGCCCTAGGGCGCAGCTTACACCTCTGTCCTCGACCCCAGAGTCATCGATCCAGCTGCCTCTTCCCACGGCCACCTGAGCCTCCGTGGGCATCACAACCGGCCGTGACTGAAACGAAACTCCTCTCCCTGCAGCCCCTCGAGGCCACAGTGGAAAAACCTGCTTCTCTTCTTCAGAAACGGGACTCCATCGCCAGGGCTGCCCTGGCCGGAGGCCTCAGAGTCGTCCTCGACAGAATGTTGCCTCCTCTCACACCCAGAGCCCACCCACCAGCACATTCTGGTAAGTCCGCCTTCAGAACGCAGCCCACGCTGGACCGCTTGCCACCACCTTCGCCACCAGGGCCGTCTCCCCGCTGGGTCCCTGCAGGAGCCTCCTTGTCGCTCTCCCTGCTCTGACCCCGGCCCTCTGGTCTGTTCTCGGCACGGCCGCCACAGGGGCAGTTATGAGACATGGCACCTCCCCCTGGAGCTCCCTCCTGTGCCTGCCTGTCCTTCATGGAGCAGAAGTGAAGCTCCACCGCCCCCCTCGCCCTGTGTCAGCCTCAGCACCGCACTTCCCAGAACCACCCCCCGGCTCCCTCCAGGGCTCGCCCCTGGCCTTCTTCAGATCTCTGCGGATGTTACCTGAGCAGAGACGCCCCCCTGAACCTAGCAGCGCCCCGCACTCCCAGTCTCAGCATGTTTCCAGCACGCGCCACCCCACCCATACAGCTGCTTATACGGTGCACACAGGGAGAACCGCCTGTCCCCTTCAAAAAGTATACTTCCCAGAGGTAACGACTTTGTTTTGTCCGCGGTCCACTTTCCAGCACACAGAAGCATTGTCAGGGCGCAGGCGGGCACGTAAATCCACACTTAATAACAATCTGGGGACGAGGAGCCAGAGTGACCACGAGGGCGAAAGGTCAGCCAGCAGAGAGAGAAGGAGAATGCCCCCAAGGCAGGGCTGCGGTGACCGTGACGGGCGCAGAGATGAGACTGGCCGGCTGCAGTCCCCACGAGGTCTGCAGGGGGGCACGCTGTGTCCCCAGCCTCTTTCCTGATGACATTCGGGACTTTGTTCCTCGCAGCTGGAATCACCTTGACTTGCAACCCCCCACCCACCCACAACGCCACCCTACAGGCCGCCTCCCAACCACGCAGACGCCTCACTGTGTCTACAAAGCAGACAGTCCACGGGGTCTTCAACCCTTACACACCCATCAGCCTAGAGTCCACCCATCCACCCCTCAGCACGTAACCAAACAACTGTCCCCCCAGCAGGAGCCTTTCGGAACACACCTGGGGGGTGGCAATGAGGGGCCTGGGCTGCAGGTCGAGGCAATGCAACTCTATTACTGAACCTCGGGAGCTATGGAAGGGCTTTGAGCAGAAATGTCCATGATCATGTCTGTATTGTGGTAAAATAACACAGGCAGCTATGAGTAAGATGGATGGGGAGGGGAATCTAAAAGCAAGAGACCAGCTGGGCCAACATTGCAATATTCCAGATGACGAATTAGGGCAGAGGCATAGCAGCCAGAGAAAGGAAGTTCCTAGGAGCCTGCAGGGGAGCAGCCCGGGAGCAGAGCCCTGCCCAGGTGGCCCAGGCTCGGTGCTTGCCCCAGCTGTCCACAGGACCGCCCCTCCTGTACATTCGACGCACAACATCCGGGACAAGGAGTTCCCAGGAGTTCCCAGGGGGCCCAGCCCAGAACCAGTTCTTTCTGGGGCATCTGCAGAGTCCCCTGTCCGACAGCTCAAGTCCCTGAGCAAGTGCCATTTCCAGAGCACACAGTCGCCCACCAGCTCCAGCCTTGCAGCCCAGCGGACACTGTGGCCTGGCCTCTCCTCTGTTAATTTCCTCCAGCTCCTCAGAGGCTGGGCCTCGGGCCCAGTGAAGTCAGGGTCTGGGAGGCAGCCCTGGCTCCCCGCCCGCCCACGGAGGCTATATTTGGAGCACAACAGCTCCCTAAAGACTCAGACTCAGGACCCACCCTTGCAGCGCTGCCCCAACGATTTCACCTAGTATCCAAGCAGTGTGGGTGTTGCTCATATTTTCACTTGTTTGTTCACATATTTATTCATTCCACAAATACCTATGGATCCCCTAGTGTGATGTACCAGGCACAGCGGGACGTACAGTGAGCATGTCTGTCTATGTACAGATATAGGAATCTGTGTCCAAATACAAATGGCAGCACGAACCCTCGGTGCCCTTCCCCAGGGCTGGATGGTGCTGGTGACTCAGAATCAGGTGTGAGTGTGTGTGTGTGCGTGCAGACACGTGCTCTCTGGGGAAGCAGCTATGACTCAGCTGCACACAGCGTCTGTATGTACCTGTGTGGATGTTTCTGGGTGCGCAAGCACAAGTAGAAGGTGGGGAATTGGGCTGTGACTGACTCAATGGCACTCAGTGACTGGGCACCCACAGGCCAGCTGTGACTTTATGGCCTCGCTCACTTGCCAAGCCAAACAGCCAGTGTTGGGTGCAGACATTGTATCCCAGAGCTCGGGGAGGAGAGCCCTGAGCCAGGAGCCTCTGGTAAGCAGGAGAGGCTTAGCAGCCTGGGCCCAGCTGCATTTGTCCCTGGGGGCCCCTGACTGCCCCTGCACTGCAGGGACGGGGCCCACCTCTCAACCCCGGCCTCCACTGACCCGGCCTCCAGGAGGCATCAGTTTGCCCACCAGTCCCAGGCCGCGCATGTCAGGAACCAGGCCCAGAGGTACTGAGCTGCCTGCACAACCTCCCCCACACCAAAAAGCCCTCGTTTCTGCCGTGGCTGCCTCGGTGTCCAACGTCCCCACCCGGTCGTGGCCTTAGCAAGCACAGTCCCAGGACCTTCTGACCTCCAGGCTCCAGACCCACTGCCTGGGCCCCCCCTTGTCCCCATGCCTTCTCCCCCTGGGTTCCTTGCCCTATCTCTCCCTGGAGGTCTGTCTCCTTATCTGTCCTGGGTCTATCTTCGTCTCTTCTCTAGGCGGGCTGTCTGCAGCGGAGGCTTCTCAGGAGTGGAGGTGTTGACAGGGGGTGGGTGTGGGGAGGACACTCTATGTCCCTTCTTCAGCCTTATCAGGAAAACTGAAGTAACCACTCAGGCCTCAGGCTGGAATTTCGCCCTGGATGACCTTGCTCTGTTTGCTGGGGCCTCCACAGGGACAGCCAGGGTCAACCCAGTCAGGAAACAGGCCCCTGCTTGTTGGCTGGCCTGCTCCTCCTCACCACTCTTATCCCGGCCTCCAGCCAGAGACCCACAGGAGACTCCGGGGGAGGGGGCCGTCCCTTTCCTAGGCACTTGCAGAAACAGGGCCAGGCTGGGGGAGGTGGGGGGAGGGAGGGAGGATGAATCATGACCAACAGAGCTCAGGGTGCCAGCAGGCCCTCCTTAGGCCCCCGAGAGGAAACCCTCGCAGGCTGAGGAGGAACAGGGCCCCCGCCCGGTGCTCTCCCCTCGGGTGCTCCCAGGCAGGCCTGCGCTTGCTGCCCGCCGCCCCTGCCCGCCGCCCGAGGTACGTGCCAGGAATGGCTGGGAGAGGCCCTGGAGCAGGACACACGGGTTTTGTCCCAGATCTGCCATTGCCTGTGTCCCCGGGGGCAAATGCCTCGCTCTCTGAGTCTGACTTTTCTCATCTGCAGCACAGAGCCCACTTTCTCTGTTGCTGGAGATAAAAGGAGGTGGGCAGGGCTGGCTCCCCGGCTCAGCGCCTGCAGGGGCCCCCAGCCCTTGGCAGGCACAGCTGCAACCGACTGGCTTGTTGCGGGCAAGCCCAGGATTCAGGGCACGAAACCCTCCGGAGCTGTCTGACTGAGAGCGGTTTCTTATCGCTGTGCCTCTTTCCTGACACTTCTCACTTTTAACACGTGAAAGAACCAACAGCGTTTTCTCAACAGGCTGTTGCCTATTTCTCCTTCACTGTGCCGCTCTCACCCTCCTCCCCTCAGCGTCACAGCTTCGGAGTATCAGGGTGTGTGTGTGTGTGTGTGTGTGTGCATATGCACAGCTTTCTTTACTGAAGGACTGGGTGAGTGTTAAAGGGAATTGACCACCTAGGACTTTCATGACTCGGTACCATACAGTTTGGAAACTACGAACTGACATGGTGGATACATGTCATTATACATTCGTCCAAATCCATAGAATGCACAACAGCAAGAGTGCACCTGAACGTAAACTATGGGTGTTGGGTGATAACGCTGCGTCAGTGTAGATTCGTCAATGACAACAAATCTACAACTCTGAGGGGGGAGGTGGGTGATGGGGGAGGCCCTGCATGTGGGGGGGACGGAGGGTAGATGGGAATTCTCCGTACTTTCTGCTCAATTTTGCTGCCCCTTCTAGGGTCCCAGAGCGGCCACCTCCTCCCTGGGGAACCAGGGGACCCATCTGGCCGGAGGACAGCAGGACAGCTCTCAGGACAGCTGAGCAGACGTCAGGACGGCACCAGGCGGTGCGCCAGTCGGGTGGGGACCCGCGGCGCACGGCTGCCCCCTGGCGGCCCTCGCCGGCCTCGCCCCGCGCCTGTCGCGCGTGAAGGGGCGCACACACACGGTCCTTTCCCCCAAAAGGCATGACCATTCCACTGCCCCGGGCCCGGGCCGTTGGAGGACCAGCCACGGAGGCGCTGGGGGGTGGGATTGTGCCCGATGAAGCGGGGCTTACTGCTCTTTTAAACGATCGGAAATGTGGGGGGGAGCTCTTCGTGCAATCCTGGTAGATTGACTGTGGGGGGTGGGGTCATTCTCTTTGCATACCTGCTTTTTCTCCATTTTTCACGTTGGATATGCATTACTTTGTGCTAAGAAAAAACTTCAAACTTCATTTTTAAAGAATTACTTGGGGCCCTGGCTGGTGTGGCTGAGTGGGTTGAGTGCCAGCCTACGTGAGAACCAAGGTTGCTGGTTGATTCCCAGTCAGGGCACATGCCTGGGTTGCAGACCAGGTCCCCAGTAGGGGGCGCAGTGAGAGGCAACCACACATCAGTCTTTCCCTTTCTCCTTCCCTGCCCCTCTCTCTAAAAAAAATTTTTTTTAAAGAATCACATGGGGGTCTAATTTGTCTGTCAAGGAATTTCTGCCAGCTTTGGGCCTAGTTTCTGGTATCTCTTTGCATGAAGACCGCGGGAGAAATGGGCTCTCGGACTTAAGTGTTTGGGGTCGATGAGCCATCCTTCACATATGCTGGGACTTTCTTTAAGAAGAAAGGAAGGAAAAATTGTCCCCAACCTCAGGATAGAGTGGGGTAAACGCTCTAGCTGGACCAGAAACTCGTTTCCCTGTTGTCTCCAAGGACACGCGAGGAATATATCAAGAACCATTTGAAGACGGGGACTTATTTCAGAAAGAGGCCATCAAAAGCTGGCCATTACTAAGCACCTACTAGGTGTCACGTGCTGGCAATACAGCCCCAAAGCCAACGTCTGTCCCTAAGGGGCCCTGGGCTTGCCCGTGAGAAGATCCTCAGCGCTGTGGCCCCCGGAGCCTCCTCCCCTGCCGCTGCCCGAGTCAGCGAGAATGTCGGGAGCGGCGGCCCTGGGGGCTGAAGAGCGTCTGGCTCTTCCACTGAGGAAGCCACAGGATCCCGGAGGGGAAAGCAGAGGCCGGGGTCCTGCAGGCTGTGCTGGGAGGCAGCCGCGTTACAAGCCCTTGAGACCCACCCACTTCACCACCTGGCTGGGCCCCCGAAGAGCTGGCGGGACTGGGAAAGTGTGAAGGTTTCTGGGCGGAGCCCCCACCCTAGGACCCCATTTGTTCGTTCAGCCATTCACACGCATGTCAAATGCCTGCCTTTGCAGGACACCTGGGAAGTGACACCTGCCCATGGAAGGGCAAAGAGAGCACCCTGGTGTTTCCCAAACTCTCCCGAGACCCACCTCAGTCACCTGTGGGATTTTCTCAAAAGTTGTCAGTCCACCCGAAAAGTCCCCACGTGAGCCCTGGCCCAGCCGCAGTGGAAAGCCCCTTGTCTTGTGACTTTCTAAAGCAAATGCACCAAGATGAAACACTGGGGGTGAAGCGTGTCTCTGCAACACGGAGAAAATGCCATGGGCACCGTGTGCCTCCAGGTGTGACACTCAGAGGGCCGTTACCTGGGCAGTCTTCACTCAGAGAACGCAGCCCCCAGTCTGGCTCACTCCGGGTGGCGCAGTAAGGCAGAACCCCGGTCTGAATGTCTCTGGAATCAGCCTCCTTTTCCAGCTCCGAGCTTTGAAGGCCGAGCCCTGCCCACTCATACTCTAAGGAAGCCGTTCGCTCTGTCCCTGTGAGCATCTTCCCACTAACCGTGCCTTGAGGAGTATGAGGCCTCGGGATTCAGGAATGAAACCTTCACCCAGGCGCCGTTCTTGACTAGCTTGTGCATTCCTTGCAAATTCCCTGCAGATGGGAACAGAGAGCCCAGTGGGCAGCACCGGGCAGAGATGCTGGTGAGAGAAGGGGCTGGGCCTGGCCTTCACCCCCAAACCAGTCTGTGGGCAGACAGTGTGTCTTCTCAGGGGAGCTGGCCCAGGACGGTCCTGGCTGACCCCTCAGGAGGGGCAGACGCCATGAGAACAGAGGAGGGGGTCCAGCGAGACCTGCTCTCAGAGACCCAGTGTGGGCTGCCAGTCAAAGCAGAAAGTACTGGCTGTGGAGACAGGCAGGGTGACACAGGACAGGAAATGGGGGATTCAGAGAAGGAGCTACTGGGCTGGGAACTGAACGGAAGGGGGTTTGCTAAACAAACCTTCCCTCTCCCCACTTGTCACATCCTGGGCCTTCAAGGGGCCTGTGGCCTACTATTAAGGAGGTGGACACAGCCAGGGAGGAAGGTCTTCATTCCTGTGGGCACCCAACCCTAAGAAGCACTGTGCTGGGTCTATGCGGTGGGGGCAGAAACGGAATCTGAAGCCAGCCTGGCTGGAACTTAGTGTCCACTGCAATTTACCCATGACCCAGGGCCAAAGACTCGGCCCTCAGAAAGGTCAACAGAAGCTGAGTGTGGGACTAGAGCGCGGACACGAGGGTAGCTGGGTGATGGGATAGAAACACCAAGATAAAAATGTTTGGCGTCCTAACGTATTTAAAGGATCTGAGAGGAGGGAGGTGGGGTGACGAACTTCACCCTAGAAAAGGCCAGGAGTTCCGGTGTGGATCTGATTTGTCCCATCCGGTTCCTTCTCTGCCAGCTAAGAGGCTGGAACCCGTTGACCCCTAGAGACTAGCCAGTCATGGCATTCTTAGAGGCACTACTGTTATAAACAGTAAACAGCTCAAATCCTGAGTGTGCAGTTAATACATTTTACTTGTATAACCACTACCCATTTTCAGCTTCCCAGAAGGTTCACTTGTGCCCTTTTCCAGTTAACATCCCTCCTACTCCCCCCAGCACACCCCTGGGTAACCACAATTCCAGCCTCAAAATGCACAGATCAGCTGTGGCAGTTCTGAAAGTTAATATGAATGAAATCATTCGGTATGTTCCCTGTTTGTCTTTGCTCAACATAATGCCTGTGAGATTCATCCACGTTGCCTCATCTCTCAGGGATGTGTTACTTCAGGTGAAGTGTAGCACCCTGACTACACAACTCACTGATCTGTTCTCTACTGGTGGGCCCTCCAGTGGCTTCTGGTCCGGGGCCATCCTAAGCAAAGTGGCTGTGACCCTCCTTGCAGGGTCTTTGATGGACATGTGGCTCTTTCACCCGGGAGTGGGGCCGCTGGCCCAGAGGTAGCTGTTGTATTGACTTTAGTAGGTACGACCAGAAAGCTTTCCAGAGTCGAGGGGTAACTTTCACAGGTCTTGAAATGAGTATATACAAGAAGTAGAGGGGGAGAGGAAAGAAACATATTCCTTAAACTATTATTCCCAAGACTGATTTTTTCATTAAGTTTTGAGCACCTCCTATGAACTGGTAGCCTCATCCACCAGCCCCTCCCATGGGGTCTGGCCTTAATGAACCTAATCCTCACTCCCCGAGGGCCGCTGTGCCTTCAAGACATGAGGGGCACCGACACCCTACGAGAGGCCCATCACCAGCTGCTTAATGGCTCTGATGGACCCTCCCTGCATTTAGCCACTCATGGAAAGAATTTAGGGTCATGGTGGCTTTCACATTTCACACCTCAGCAACTGCATCTCAGACCTTCAGACAGATCCGAAGGAATCCCCTTCCATCTGCGTTGCACAAGCATTTGCAGTTTCTGAAGCACAACCCCGACACCAGTGCAGAAGCTCCTGCTCACCGCTCTCTGCCACCTCACAGTGCAGTCGGCCTCCCTCCCTTCCAAGTGTGCCCCACTCACACCAAAGAGGTCAACCCCTGGGATGCACTGCAGGGGTGTCCAACCTGCAGCCCACGGGCTGCACGCAGCTCGGATAGCTATGAATGTGGTCCAACACAAAATCATAAATTTATCTAAAACATTATGAGATTTTCTGTGTGATGATGTGTCAATGTATGTCATGTGTGGCCCAAGACAACTCTTCTTCCAGTGTGACCCAGACACCAAAAAGTGAAACAACCCTGCAAGAGAAAGCCTGTCCCCAAGAGCCCATTGTGTCCTGGACAACAAATTCGGCCTTTCTGTGAAGGAGGCTTCCCCAGCCTTGGTGCTGTGGGCACCTCAGACCGACGCCTCTTTGCAACCAGGGGCTGTCCTGTGACTTGTGGGCATTGGGCAGCATTGCTGGCCTCGACCCACCAGATGCCAGTAACACCACCAGGATGACAACCAAAAATGTCTCCAGACATTGCCCCCTTGGGGGCAAAATCGTGCCCGGGTGAGAACCACTACAATAGCGAAACAAGTTTGGAAAAACACCACCCCATGTGTTCTCTCCCTTGAGAAGGGACAGCTCAGCATTGAGACATGGTCATGCTAGATGGAGCAGCCTCCTTGGTCCACAATGGGCATTTTAATCTTGGTGACCATGTAAAACAAAACAAAAAACCACACTGTGTACTCTGGTAAAACTGAAAGAAAAACTGAAAGGCGCACAATGAACTCTGGAATGCAGAGGTAAAAGGGTTTGGGGGTAACGGTAACAAAGGGGAGAAATAAATCATCCCGTGAGTTCCCATCTGTGAGCTGACACAGGGGCCACAGTTCCCCACATCAGTGACTCAAATGCCAAACACCAGGCCCTCGCCAAGTGCATGCGGGCAACGGCCTTGGGGTCCAAACACCAGACCCAGTGTTTCCAGGAAGTATCCCCAAACCAAGCCCAGCTCACTATATAAAAACACGCACACACACAACTTTACCCTGCAATTTTATTAAACCAGACCGTTTTAAATGTATGTTGTTCTGGTTTGGTTTTGTTTTTACATTTTCTTACTGAGTGCATTTAAAAAAATACAAAACATTTTTAATATATCTTAGAAAATTAGCAAAAAATTAAGAAAGTTCAGCATATTACACTGTATAATATTTAGGTAAGGATGTTTGAAAATTATAAATATTTTGTTCCCTCTCAACACAGCAAATGACAAAAATACATTTAAAATTCTTTTTCATATATAATTCATATAAAAGATCATATTCCAGTTTATTAAGTAAAAGGCCTGATTATGACAAGCACACACACACTCCTGAAATACTCTGTACAGTAACTAAGAAGTAAAACCACGGGGTCTGCCAGCACTTCAGCAGCTGAGCCACTTTAAACCTTAGGAGGAATTTGGTCAGTATCAGACTATCGTTCCAAACGGGATTTACTTAGTTCATTTATATGCTTTGATTCATAAATACAGCATGGATGTATTGGATGACGTCGTTTTGTTGTAATGTTGATGAGATGCCGCAGAAACTCAGCTCTGTTTTACGAACCCGCCTCTACCGCAGGATGGGCTTGGCTCTGCGTCGCTTCCCGTGAGGCTGGAGAACCTGCCAAAGACGCTCAGAGAGGACTTGCTGCGTCTGTCTCGGCCGAAGCGCTGTTCACAGGGGCCCCTGCCTCCTCCGCAGCGCGGCTGAAGCCGGATGTGAGTCAGTAGCACTGCGCACCAGGGGGAAGCCTCTTCCGCACGACCACGTCCGCGGGCCACGTCCGCTGGCCGAGGAGCAGAGGCAGGGCCCCGTGCAGCGAGCGGCTTCCGTTGTGGAGCAGCAGTGGTCACGTGGCGGCACGCAGACTGGCCAGCAGACTGGCCAGCGCGGTTCAGAAACGCACCCGGAGAAGGACACGTGCTGCCGAGGGAACGCCTGACGCCAGGCCCGGGGGCTCTGACCGTCCTGCGACCCAGGCGCCACCCTGCTCCTCCCGGAACACGCCGCGGCCGGCACCAGGCTGGGAGGCGCAAAGGGGTTTCCAGAAGCCGAAGTTCTCACAGAAAGAGTCTATTAAGAGCATGACAATGTCGACCTTTTTTTTCCTTTTCAGGTAAGTCCTTATTGGCGGGAGATAGACAGGGCTTCCTCAGCACACGGACCCCACAGGAGGCTGAAGGGAGAAGAGCCAGAAGCAGCAAAGCCATGTCCTTGCGTCTCTCGCACCAAGCCTTCCGGCCGCACGGCCGCCGGCGGTCACTCCGTGCCCTTCTTTCCTTTCCAGCTTTTCTCTCGCTCCTCCAGCTCCGCCTTCGTGAAAGCCGCGGGCCCCCAGTGGGTGATCAGGTGAGGGTTTTTGGAGCCTGCAAGACAAACATGCTCTAACTATCATCTTCCCACAAACAGGCATTTTTCTACTTGATTCTCTCTGCGGAACGTCCACCAGCGTCACCCCAAACCACCAGAAGATGCACGCAGAGGGGATTACCAGGGCCTTCTTGTCTGTCAGGGGCAGAAAAGGCGAGAGAAATTTCCCCTGAACAGCTTGGTTTCTGTGTATTGGGGGCTGAAGAAATTTCTTTGCACAATTCAACTTTACACAACAGAAGAGAAAAATACACTGAATAAATACACAATGGCGTCAAGGAGTTCCTCACCTGGTTCTATCAGTCGGATCAGGCCTTCGTGCTGGGCCACTTTGTCCTTCCAGCTCTTCGTCTTACTGGTGGCCATCTCCAGCTTCTTTTTAACTCCCTGAAACAAAAGATTTCAAATCATGCAAAACACACTGGCTGTTTAAGAGCCAGATAATGATGAGCAGACACTTACTATGTGGCTTATGGATTTTCTCACGGAGCCCTTACAGCCACTGTAAGAAGCAGGAACTGTAGCCGGGGCCCCAGAAGCCGCTGCTCCGTGAGTTCTGCCATCCAGGGGGCCGTGGCTGAGCGCTCCGCAGGGAGGTCTGGATCACTGGGTTTACGGGGACCCTGCCCCCACCCCGTGTCCTTCCCCAGGTGTCTACCTCAGTCCTGGAGGCAGTGGCTGCTGCCCGCATCTGCCATGCCTATGTCCTTAAAGTTGTCTTCACCACTCCATAGCTAACCCCCGTCATAGTCAACACCTGTTTATATTACATTTTCCCTGTTTGAATTGCTGTGTGGCTTCTGTCTCCTGACTGGACTGATATGCCTCACTGCCTGTAAAAAATTCTTACCACGGCTGTTGACAGTTAAGCAAGTGTTCTATTTTTTTTTAAGTTTTTTTTTTTTTAATTCAAATGCATGTGTTTGCAGGGCCAAATCTACCTCATACTGCTCTAGCGCTTGCTTGCGCTCCAACTCCAGCTGCTCCAGCTGTGCCATGGCTTCCTGCAGGGCCCGCTCCTTCATAACACGCTGGTTCTCCAGCTCCTGCTTCTCCGCTTCGGTCGTCTGGATGGTCTGCTGCTGCTCCACGTGCCACTTCTCCAGCTCAGCCCTCTTGGAAGACTCTTCCTCCAGCAACCTGCAGTATGCAGAGCTCGGGATCAAAAGCGCCTGGGGCACCACACCCAACCCAGAACTCCAGGGGGGCACTTCAGAGTAGAGGACATCTGAGGTCACCCAACCCACCTCTCTCATTCAACCAGGAGCAAGTGAGGAGCCGGAAAGGCCCGTATTCACAAGACTGGAAATGCCACCCACGTGTCCTGCTCCAAACTGTTTCACCCGTTTTTTTTTTTTTAATGATACTTAAGGAGGGCTTATAATGTGCCATGAACTTGACCAATAGTTGTTATTTTCTAAATTAATCCTCACAATAAGCTTAAGTACTATTATTACCCACATTTTAGCATTGAAGAAACTGAGGCGTCAAGGTTAAGTGGCCTGTACAGGTCACTTGCCTGGCAGGTGATAGGGCCAAGTGCTGAAATCTGCCTAGTTACTACAATGTTCAAACATGTTCCATCTCATCTAGTGAAAACCTATGACAAAGGAATGGCTGATATTTAAACTAATGAGATGAGGGAAGGAAGAGTTGACAAGAGGCAGAATAACAGACACCACTGTTCAGTAACCTGAACAATGACTACATGCCTAGCACTTTACCTTCACCATTACGGACCCTGCCCCCCTCCAGAACAAGGCACTGTTTCTACGTTACAGAGGAAGCAGTCGAAACTCAAACTGCACAAGTAGCAATGGGTTCACCCTAGGTCTGTGCAACTCCAAAATGTTATGTTACAGTAATAGGCTACCCACCTGGGAATTTCCAGACACATGGTACCTAAACAAACTAAACAAACATACAGCCCAAACCTGTACAAGCAGTGTGGTTAGGGTTAGACACCAGCCCAGCACAGAACGCACCCCTAATGGCTTGATGCTCAGTGACAAGGCCAGGGAGCAGGCCAGTCACTACCACCTGAGAGTGCCCACTCCTCTCAACCAACAGCAGAGGGAGTAAAGGAGCAGACTGCACACCCCTTATCTGACCACCCGAACCCCTTCACCCCAGTCCCCAACTGCACCACTGCAAAAACTCCTCTGCGACATCCTGCCGGTTGGTTAATCCATTCTCCTCGAACATTCTCTCTCTGACAGGCCGACCGCTGCTTCACAAACCAGGCCAGTTCATTCACGGCAGCCTCAATCCTCAGGAAGTTCTTCCTTGACTAAGAGGAGCTCTCCCACCTACTACCCCCAGTTCCACAACTCTGTACCCTCCTTAGATGTATTTTGGAATGTGCGGCCCACACCTGAGCACAACTCCACAAATGCACTGGTCTGACCAGTGCAGAGTTCATTCACGAGATCAGCCTGGGTCTATCATCCACCTCTCGGGGTCCTTCCTAGGCACTAGGGATAAAACAGTGAACAGCGCCCCGTGTCCTCATCCTGGTGTGAAAGCATGGGGGGCAGGGGAGAGGTGGGCACTTGCAGTGCTTAGGCTGCCCAGTGTCTGAAGCCCCTTCATATGTCCAGAGAATCTGGCATAGCAGGTGTCTTGATGGAAAGCAGGGCCTATTCCCCATACAGAAGCCACAGCCAGACAACTGCCCTCCTGCCCCTTGGCGGCCAGGACACAGTGAAAGCTGAAAGCAGAGCAAGGGTTGGCTCGCAGGCGCCCCTCCTGGATCTTCAACTCTGAAGCAGCTGAC